ATGAGAGAAGAAGAGGCAGCTGTGCAGCAAAGACACAGCATAACTCCAGCTTTGTGTCTTTTTCATTGTAGCTGAAGTCCGGGACAAACTGTGTGTCTTTTTACCTCAATACGAAACGCGCAATATTTTCTCTGAATACGAGACGATTCTGTTTTTTAAGGATGGTTGGAAACTCTAATAATTAACCTTATGAACAAAATAAAGTTCAACATCAGTAACATAGCACCCACCCAGCTGTATAGAAATCCGTCATGCTAGCTAGTACGCAGTCCGGAAAAAGTCAGAAAACGAAAATAAACTCCACCTAAACTTGGTTCATATCTGACCCAGATGGACTGCAGGTCATAACTTCTTACCTGAAGTTCAGTTCACCTGATACTCGGACCAGCGGCTGCCTCTGGTCTCTGCTCCTCCTCCTGCCTCCCCTTTCTCTCATCCACCTGCTGCCTCCACCACTTGCTAATGTTACTGAATCTGTGGAAGCTCTGATAGCCACCACACGAAGTAACGAGTAACGACCCTATCTAAATCCCAGTAACGACTAGCATGTTCCTGATTTTGGCATAATAACTAGTTACCATGCTCGTTATCACAATAATAACGTAGTTACTGTAACGCGTTACTTAATAATGCGTTAGTCCCAACACTGGTTATAACTAAAATAATTTAACCATTCTACGTATGCAATACATAAAGTATATACAGTTTCTTCAGTAATTTGTGTTGAAAACTAAATAACACATATTAATTCTTTTTTGTTAATACTGTTAATACTTTTTATCATTACATAGTTACTAAAGTGACACAGGCACTAAAAGTACATTTTTGTCCATTATTTTCTTTTGTAGTTTAAAACGCTTTTAATAAGAAGCATTAGTTAACCAAACTAGACTTCTTCCTAGTGTAGCTTTGCAGTGATGCGACTATTTTTGAGGTAGCTTGCAAAGCTATGCTTCTTGAGAAAAATAGCTTTAACACTGTTTGGTAACTACTGTAATACATGGGTCACATCATCACTCTTTGAGTTTTCTCTTGTTCTCTTATTTAAATTAAATACAACAGACTGTTTTTTTTTCTCTCACTGTAGCTGCTCACCAATCAAGTCACTTATGAAGTGAAATCAAATTCCTTCTATTTGTGTAAATGCATGCAGTCTTAATCACCTTCCTGGCACAGCAGCAGCTTAAGACAGTCATAAAAGCCTGTGTGTGACTTCACTGATACCCTTATAGACCCATATAGAGCCAAGGTTCACGAGAGTTTGTAATTAACACTGTTCTTAATATTCTCTCTTTGTTCATGCACTAAGTTGGGTTTTTTTAAGTTAAAAAAAAGTAACTAAACATCATCAGTACCTCTGTCCTACTTGCAGTGGAGTGAAATCTGTGAGTATTCTCTACACAAGGTCAGTCAGGTTTTCAGCATGTGCTTGGAGTCTGCCAAACTTTCCACTCTGCTCCTGTTTGTGATATGAACCCAGGCCACAGCCAGGGTGAAAAGAGTGTCCAGTTTAAGAACAACATCATGCGTCTGTTTTTTTTAAGGGTTATTTTTTCGTAGTGGAAATTATTCTATGTGCTTACAGTATAAAAGTATGAAAGTGAGTGTTAAGTCTTAAAGTAGTGTTAAGTCTGAGGCCATGGTTCACTGTTGGAAAACGGTGGACTGCTTCCTCTGGGTTGTGAGTGAGTTGCTGCCTTCTGAGAGGCCTTTGGACAGGTAGACCAGTGAGGCACCGAAAACTGTCACAGAAAGGATGCTGAGCAGGCAGTCAATCTGCCTTCCAAACGTCCACTTTACTAATTAGGTCTGGAGGGATTCTTAAACACTTTACCTGGCTTTGGTGGTGGGACCCAGCTTTACAAATAGTCCATGGATCTGGCACATCCACAGCTCAGGATAGAGCTGCTTTTCCTTTGCTCAGAAAGAGTTTGATGAGATGGCTCGGGCGTCTGATTAGAATACCATCTGGGACACTTTCTTTTGGAGGTTTTCCAGGCATGACCAGCTGGAGCTGTAGATTGCTTGAGGGATTACTATGTGCTCAAGTTATGGAGCAACTGGAAAATCCTCCCTGGCAATGTTTCCAGCAAATTGAAATCTATTGCTGGGGAGAAACGAGAGACCCCTGGTGTGCTCACCTAGTCTCCTGCAACTGTGAGCTGACTTGGGAATACTAGAAGAAGATTAAAAAAAAATGAATAAACAAACTATTAACTAATCTAGTCCCTCAAATATTTCAAAATAAAGGTACTTTTATTGTGAATCCATAAAAACAATTATTTACAATTGCTGGTAGCAACCAAAATCTTTTCTTTCTTTCTTTTTAACAAAATTAAAAAGTCACAGAAGAATCAGGATTCAGGTCTTTAAATTTTCTAAGCCAGCCATACAGTCATAAATCAGCCAGATTAGCTAGACAATTAGCCTGCATTTAAAGACACCTAAGGTTTAGCTTACTAATTTAGCAGCACACATGACCATGGTTTCTTAACGTCTACAAACAGAAATATCTTCAGAGAGAGGTTTGGGCACTTATAAACAATATCAGTATCACAGCAGTCTGTGTAACTTAAGTACACAACAAAATAGACACTATAAATAACAATAAAATGTCTAAAACCACCACCAAAAACAAACATAGCAAAGAAAGCAAATTTGGTTGCTAAAACAAGACAGAAAACATGAAAATGATATCAATAAAATCATTTTCATGACAGCAAAAATAAATTAGGAATCATTTTGATGATCACCACTGCAAATCCAGTTAGAGGCCAGAAGGCTTTTTTAAAAAAAAAAAAAATAAATAAATTGTTGGAGCCTGAAAGCTAACAAGATGTGCAACTGTCTCTCCCCCCAGGCTGTTATACTAAGGACTCATTTAGCCCTTTTGACAAACTCTTGAAAAGAGTGAACGTGCACACACACACACTCATTCATGAATGCTGAATGCTGTGTACATTTATAAGTAAATATTGCCTTTTTAAGGTGTGTAATGTGTAAAGTGACAAAGAAAAGACGTCTTGTTTAATCTTAGGATTGTACTGCATGTGCGAATTTACATTGTGTAATCACATATGTATAATAATAATAGTAATATAAAGGTAATATAATAACATAATATAAATGATGTATACTGGCTGAACAAGCATTGACAAAGGTCTTTTTCATTCACATCCTTTTTTCTGAACATACAATAACAATATTATTTTATTATTTTAGAGGCTTGGCATTCAAGTAGTGCTTAACAAATTTATTAGACCGCCTGTCACAAAAACAAGAAAACAAATCTTTTACAAATCTGTTAAAAACTTGTTTAAAACTAAAACGTTAATTTGAAGCATCATAATTGAAATTGCAGCAACAAAAAATAAATATATATTTTTAGCAATTACCAGTGCTGTCAGTTCAGCTGTGGCA